CACCTCGCAGCTGTAATTCCCCGAGTGGGAGACCCCCACGGCGGGCACCAGGAGCTGCGGGGACCCCTGCGGGCCCCCCACCAACTGCCCGTGCCGGTAGAAGCGGTACAGGAGGGGGGCTGGGGGCCGCAGGGGGCTGGGGGTGCTGAGGCAGCTGAGATTGAGGGGGGACCCCTCGGTAAACTCGGGGGAACCCTCCAGCACCGGCACCGAGAAGAGCTCTGGGAAAAGGAGATGGGGAGGACGTTTTGTGTCCCCGAGTCCGTGGGGAGCGGCTGTGGGGGTGTCGGGGTGGGGCTGTGGGGTGCTCACCCTGCACTGTCACTGGCACCGGTGCGGAGTTCCTCCACCCCCAGATGCCCACCCGGCCCTTGCAGCGGTAGCGGCCACTGTGATGAAGTTGCAGAGGGGACAGGGACAGCTCAGTCCCATTATGGAGTGTCGCCAGTTTCTTCCCCTCGCGGTAGAAGGACACTGAGGTGACAGACAGGTTCCAGCAGCTCCGGCAGCGCAGGGTCACTCTGTCCCCCTCCAGCAGCGCCCGCGCCGGCACCTGCAGCACCACCGAGTCTAGGGGACAGGGGGAACCTGTCACACCCGTTATCACCGGGACCCTCCACTGGGTCATACGAGGGGTCCCCAATTCCAGCACGGGGCTCCTCCCGCACTGGGATGCTCTGGGATGTCCCCAGAGCAGGGGACAGGCTCTGGTCACACCAGGGGGTGACCCATGGAGCTGAGCCCACCCTGAGCCCTCAGGGTCACCGTGGGTGCCAGGCTGGGGACACCCAAACCCTTCTCACCATTTAACATCCTCACGGGGGAGCTGCGCCGTGTGCCAGGTCTCTCACACGTGTAGGTGCCACTCTCGGTGACACGGAAGCTGTCGCGTCCCTCCTGTCCCCATCTCTGCCCGTCCTTGTACCAGGTGGTGTCACCGGCGGTCCCCGAGCCCTGGCAGGTCAGTGTCACCCGGTCCCACAGCACCGCCAGCGTCCAGGGGGGCTCCACCAGGAGCTGGGGGCTCTGGGCACCTGCAGGTGACAGGGGACACCAGCCTGGCAGGGCCACCACGGGGCTGGGGACAGCGGGGCAGGGACATGGCATCCCCCGAGGACTCACCAGCGAGGCCGAGAGTCTGGGCTGGAAGGGAGAAGGGACAGGGCTGGCTGGGGGTGGCCCCGCGAGGACAGCAGCACCCGGGGGCGGGGTGTGGGCTGTCCCCGAGCTGTTCGCGTGGGGACACCGCTTCTTGTGGGAAAGTGTCCAGGGAAGGTCCCCAACAGGTCTGGAGAGGCTCCCAAGGGGCAGCTCTGGGTGGCACGGATGCCTTGGTGGCAGGGACACCACGGCCACCCCGTGCTGGCACAGTTCACCAGCACCAGCCCCATGGCCACATGCTCCTGGTACTTGTCCCCTTGTCCCTGTATTCCTGTCCCCGTGTTCCAGTCCCCACAGCTGCCCCGGCCTCGTGGAGCCAAACTCCACATTCCTGTCCCCCTATCCCTGTGCCCAAATAAATCCCTTTCCCATTCCTGTCCCCTTGTCCCTGTCCCCAGGGCCACGCCGGTCATACTGAGGGGCTGGGCTGTCTCGCACTGGTTGTGCTGGCCTTGGGGACCTCAGGGGACCCCGCAGCCCCCCTGTGCCCCCTCCCCACCGCTCTCTGCCTCACCGGGGCCCATCCCCGGGGCGTCAGGCCCGTGCCCGGGGCACTCACCCCACAGGAGCAGCGCCACCTTCCCGGCCATCCCGCTGTCCCCGGCCATGGGCACTGGCTGTCACTCGCTGCTGTGGCCACCTGTCCCCTGGGTGGCGGCTCTTCCCATGAAGGGACAGGAAGCGAGGTCAGCCCTTGTCCTGATGTGTAGCTGCCCTCGGTGGGGGTAGGGTGACCACAAGAAGTGACAGGCTGTGGGCAGGGTGGGGACAAGCTGAGGACAAGGATGAGTGGCACAAGGTGGGACATGGATTTCCCAGGACTGGAGGGCTCAGAGGGTGTGGGGAGCCAGGGATGGGGCCCAGGGGAATGGGGATCCTGAGGACGGGGAGTCACCAGGGTTGAGGGGACTCAGGGATGGGAATCCCAGGAGAATGGGGGATCAAGGGATTTGGGGTTATGGAGGGAGGTCCGAGGGATGAGGGTGCTGGGGGAATGGGAGGGTCTTGGGATAATCAAAGAAGGGGGGTTGTAGTGGACAGTATTCAGGGAGAGGGGGTTCCTTGGGAAGGGGGGCCTGGGCCATGAAGATCCTGGGCAATGGCCGTCCTGAGATGGGGGTCCCAAAGAGGTGGGTCATAAGGAATGGGGGTTCCATGGTTGGGTTCCCAGGGGAATGAGGGTGCCAGGGATGGGCAGTGTCTGGGCAGGCCCGTGGGTCACAGCTCCTTCCCTGGGTGCCTCAGATTTTGGGGTGACCCAGGGCCCAGCCCTGCCCGCCCAATGTGTTGGTGGCCTGGGGTCAGCCCAGGCAGATTCCGAGGGACTGTGGGTCTGTGTCCCCCACGGTGGGGAGGCTCTGGGGATTCCCGGGCTGGGATATGGGACAGGATCCACACCACCCCCCCTTCCCCCCCGCCCCAGGACATGTCACCCCCAGAACATGGGACACCCCAGAACAGTGACAGGACCCGCTGGCTGTGCCCCCTAGGACAGAACCCACCCCCATGTTACTCTCAGCCTGGTCTCTTCCTCAGGAGGGAACCACCGGCTTTCATCCACTGAACCTACCACTGCTCACAGGAGATCCCAATCATTGGAGGAGGTGTGGGGGCAGCGAGAAGCTGATGGCAGCAGCCTGGCAGGGTCATGGCCCCTCCAGGCACCCCCGCTCCAGGATTCTGCGCCAAGACCTTGCCCAGCCTTTAGGCAGAGCTTTTCCATCACACCCCCCCCTTCTCTGGGAGATTAAACACAGAAACAGCCTGAAACAATGTATTTATTTTGAGGCAAAGATAATTTTCTGTCTGGAACCCATCCCCCAGTGCAGGGATGCCAACAGCCCATGTCCAGGGTATTTTCCCCATATCCAGGGTATTTTCCATCCCTAGCAGACTTTAAACAAACTTTTCCAGGCTCAGCCTTGAGACCAGGTGACTGCAGTAAGCTCTTCCCCACGTCAACGTCAAGGCAGCTGGTTTCTCCCCTGCCACGACTCAACCTCTCATTCCTGGGCTGTCTCTGGTGCTGCAGATTGCTTGCTCTGGTTCTCACCCTTCTTTTTGTGCCCCGAAACGATGTCGTCAATGCGGAGGAGGAGAACTGCAGTCTGCAGAGAAACCCCACACCCAGGGCTCATCTGGAGTTCATCACAAAAGACAAAATCCAACCTGCCCAGCTTCCACACCACACAACCATCAGCCTGGGTGGAAATGGTTCAGTACAGGAGAAGGGATTGGTGCCTCAAGGCTTGTGGGAGCAGCAAGGGGCTGCTTTCCCATCACCATGGAAACAAGGACACCCATTTTTTCTTGTTGACTGACATAGAAGGGACACAGTATCCCTTCGAGGAACAGCCTTTGACCCAACACCAGCAGGGTAATGGCAGGATCTGTAAGAGGGGCAACTGAGACATTGCAGCCCAAGCCAGTCAAAGGGACAAAGCTCCGACGAGCACTAATGATTCCAGCATGTTGCACTGGACTGCTCAGGCACAACTCTGTCTGGCATTGGAAGCAGTAAAAATACTCTGCACCATTTGCAGGAAAAGATGGAATGAAATATGATGAAATTTAGCCGCAGGATCAAAAACCCTGGGAAAGCCTGAGTCTGGATTCCCTCATCTCTCATTACCCCATCTCCAGCAACAAGCTCAGACACCTGCATGCCCTGAGCTGGGTGTGTGATGCCCACCCAAACACCCGAGCATACAGTGAAGGATGTCCTCCTCTCCCAAATGATAACCCACCGACGCTCTGAAGTTTTCCCACTTCTCCTTACCTCCACGGCTGTTTTGTAGGTCTGAAGTTTGACAGCCAAGGGCTCCCAGATCCCCAGCTCCTTCATGTCAACCAGGGCTCCAGTCTCCCCATTCACCCCCCATGTCTGGCTCCCTTCCTGAGTGTGCTTGGCCTGGAAGCAGAAAGACAGGTGGGGTGAGATGGCGAATTCCCCTCTGGAGTCTCGAACTGACCACAGGCTCAGGAATATTCATAAGAATATTAATTAGAATATTCTCGATTTTGCAGTTTATACAAGAATATGTTACTGATAGCACGACAAGGGCACTGCTTTGAACAGTGACTCATCCAGGGAGCTGCGTGAACTAGGAAAGGCCTGCCTCTCTCCTGGAGCCCCTGCCACACGCCTTACCCTGAGTGAAGTCAGAACACGGATTGTACTAGCACCACAGTTCTGGATCAGCGTCCGGGGAATGACTTCCAGAGCCTGGGCCACTGCACGGTAGGGCCATTGCTCCACGCCTGTCATGCCCTTGGACTTCTCTGTCAGTGCATGGGAAACAGCCATTTCAGTGGCTCCCCCACCTGGCACCAGCTGCGGGTCCATGAGGACATTGCGGCACACCTGCATGGCATCCTGCAGGTTGCGCTCCACCTCCTGCAACAGATACAGAATCACAACATTGTTGAGGCTGGAAAGCCCTCTAACATCATCAAGTCAAAAAATTCCCCCAGCACTGCCAAGGCCACCACTAACCCAAGTCCCAAAGTGTCACATCCATACATCTGATAAATCCTTCCGGGGATAGTAACTCCACTACTGCCCTGGGTACCTTGTGCCAGTGCCTGACCACACTTTCCATGAAGAAATATCCAATCCAATCTAATATCCAATCTAAACCTCCCCTGGTGCAACTTGAGGCCACTTCCTCTTGCTCTGTCACTTTTTACTAGGGTGAAGAGCCTGACTCCCAGTGAGCTAGACCATCCTGTCAGGGAGCAGTAAGGTCCTCACTGAGCGCCCCCCAGCTCCCTCAGCTGCTTCTTGTGCTCCAGACCCTTCCTCAGCTCCACTGCCCTCCTCATTATTAACTGGAGCACCACACTAGCTGAAAGCCCAGCCTGCAGCCATGGCACAGGAGGTGAAGCAGTCCATGCACTCACTCACCGCAAGGATTTCCTTGCTGGCTCCCCGCAGGATGATGGTGCAAGCCTTAGGATCTTTGCAATCAGTGATGAAAGCAAAATACTCATCTCCTATTTTTTTCACTTCAAAGAGCCTAGCACCAGTTCCCACATCCTCCTCCCGGAGCTCATCTGTGCGACTGACGATGCGAGCTCCACAGGCCCTGGCACACCAAAGCATGACATCAGACACTCACAAATGAGAACTGAGAAAGAGTGAGATCAGAACAATTCCATGTCATACGCAGCAGGAATGGGCTCCAGACAGGAGCCAACACCTACCTGGCAATCCGGTTGTTGTCAGTTTTCCGCACCCTGCGGATGGCGGTGATGTTGGCTCTCATCAGGTAGTGCTGGGCCAGGTCTGAAAACAGGTTTGTGCAATTTCAGTAATGACTCAGCAATATCATGTTAAACTTTATCTGTTTATCAGTTATCAATCCAGCTATTTTAATTCTAGTCTTTGAAGCAAAAGGGATTACAGGAAAAAAGCACCTAAAATGTAGCTTTTTAAACCAGGCTGCAAGGGAAAATGGTAGCATAGCTCTCCAGGGGTTAAGACTCAGCTTCACTTGTTTTGGTATCTTTCCCAAACGCTGGAATAGCAAAATATTATTGTAAGGGTCTACTTTCACAAAGCAACATCAAGGATAAATTTCAATGCCTGCAGTGTACACCTCTTCACTAGAAAGCTAAAATAAAACCCAAACCAGGTTCAGCACCAGGTTTGGGAGGAGTTGTATTAGTTTGCTGTTGTGTCTTTTTTCAGTTTTGGTTGGGTTTTTTCCAGGTTCTTGAGCAGTGCACTTAACACCATTAACCTCACTACGATGAATTCAACACAGAGGATGACATGTGCTATTACCAGAAACTCCTTTTTCTGTGATGACCAGATCTGGCTTGACTCTTATCAGATCTTCACACATCTGCTGAATGTACTCTTCCTCCATCTGCAGGATACGGGCAAAGTCTTCCTCCCGAGTAATTTCAATGTCAGTCTGTACAAAAGAGGTGTAAACAGCTTAGAGTGCTCATTCCAACCTTCACAGTATTAGACACACCTCCCCTACCTTCAAGCAGATCAATTTCTCCAGTACAACCAGGGAAAGAGTCAGGGATGAAAACCACTGATCAGTTAAACTGCCACACTGTGTCAGTTGAGCATTAACCTTAGTTCAAGCTCAGAAACATTTCTTTTGCTTTTGACCAGCACTTAGATACACTAATCACTGTAGCTGATTCAATGAGTCAAAACACTGTAGCCTGACTCCTATTTTTATGGACCTCACAGCAGAATTAAGCCCCACATTCAACAGGCCTCTCAAAGGTAGAACACAGAAAACCTTTCACCACTTGCACTTTTAACAAGACATCTACATTTGTTCATTTTACTCACTCTAAATCAAGACTTGCAGATGTCTCAAACAGGACTCACTTTACCTGGCTCTCTCCTTTCTTGTACTCCAGTGAACAATCCAGAAGGACAATGCGTGGATTCTTAATAAGGCGACGCATTCTGGGATGCGTTACATCTTTGTTCACCATGATTCCACGCAAAACACACGAGTCTTCACTAAAACCACCTGGAATCTGACACAAGGCAGGGAGAAAATTAGGTGAGTCAATTTAGACTACAAAATGTGTGTATCTGAAAGTATCTCCTGAAGCTGTCTCACATACAGAAAAGGGAAAACATCTCCCAAGTAACCACGGTGCATCCAGACCACTATACAACTTTAATTTTAAACACACACTGACTTAGATTTTAAATGGGAAGCCATGAAAGAACTTAAGAAACTTTTAACATCCTATTGTCTGGCAATGTTTCATTTCCCATCTTCCAAATCCAATTGAAATTATCTTTTTGACAACTACTCTAAAAGAGCTGAAATAGCAGCCCCTGTTGGCATTGTAAATGAGCATGGCTGACACCACTGACTGAAATATTTTCAATGATTATGTCTGTGGACTGAGAGAAGAAACACAAAATTCTTCCCAATGCAGTCTGCAATAAACTAGTTCAGAACAAGAAAGAGGTACAAGGATAAGAAACAGTTCAGGACAAACTCACCTTTTCTACTTTTGCATATTTTTTAATATCTATTTCTTTTCTACCATTTTCTTCAAACTCCACAGTCTTAACAGCTTCAAGAGCGATGCTACAGGCTAAGTCAGACCAGCGGTTTATTGCCTTGGTGTTTATAGCACTCTTAATTATTTTAAGCATCATCTCTTTATTGTTCACATCCACTGGAGTGCTGAGATAAAGGAAAAAACAAAGAGCAAACTGAGTGTTAATTCCAAGCAACAACAACCTAACCCTTTTGACTCCCCCTCCAATTTTGCTAAGCTGTATTTGACTAACACGACTGCCTGAAGGAGCAGCTTGAAGCAGTACAGAAAGTCCCCATCCCTCCTCTCTAACTTCAGCCCATACTTACCCAATCTTCTTTAGAATACTGATCATGTCATCAAGAGCCTTACGATAAGCCCAGATGATCACAGTTGGGTGCATCTGCTGTTCAAGAAAGTGTTCAGCAACAGAAAGCATCTCTCCAGCTAAAAAAAAAAAATCAATCAAGATCCCCCAAGTAAGTTAGTAGGATAATTAACAGTCAAGAAAGGAGAGCATATAGCAGAAAAAAATATATTTTCTATCCATGCAGAGAGCTCTAACATCACCTATCTTTCCACTTAACAATGGTTATCATGGGGAAAGAACAACTTCCCAAAGTGTGGAGCTGATCACCTTAGGGTCTCATGAACCTAGCATGCTCTTACACAGTAAAAAAACCGCTCTCCATCTCAAGGTTAGTAAATAACTAAGATGTGTCTCATCACGAGCTCCGCTTAGAACAAAGGGTGAACTTCAAAGTGTCAGAGTCAGTCTCCTTACCAAGGATAATGACAGATGTGGTCCCATCTCCAACTTCTTCATCCTGAGTGCGGCTGATCTCTATCATTGATTTTGCAGCTGGATGCTGGACTTGAATCTATGTAGGAGCAAGGGGTATGGATTTGTCCCAGAATATTAAAGCAGAAATGTCTCATGCCACTCAATGGAACAAATATCACACCTTTAACACAATCAAAGGCATTCTGTCCAACCACAGCAAGGCTTTTTCTTCCCTTTTGAGACCAAAACCAAGCCCTTGTAATTGGCAGTATTGGGTCTCTTCACTGTTTTTCAGGCATGACAGTTTTTAGGATGTTCTTTAACAGCTCTTGCACCAGATAGAGGATAATCATTTCTAGGTCTCATCATGTGGCATTGCGAACACCACCATCTACTCAAAAGGTCTCAATGCAGTTGATAATAGCTCCAATTAGCAAAGAATTTGCATTACTCTTGTAACATTCCATGAAAACTTCCCACTCTAGGATCAAATCTACATTTCTGTAGAGCAAGAACACTTGCTGGATATGTTTCATTTCTCCTCAGGAAGAACCTTTATTGGTGCAGCTGCTTACCACTTGCTGGCTCTCAGGACAGGTGAGGAGTTCACACAACTCCACTGTCATCCAAGATCCAGACTGACATACTGACTTAATGTCAAGCAAGACAATCCTTTAGGAGAAACTTACTTCTCTAAGAATAGCATTGCCATCGTTGGTCATCACAATCCCACCCATGGGGTCCAAAAGCATCTGCAAGCACAAAGAGAACCAACACTTGACTGCTCTGCCCCATGTGTGCCTCACTTCTAGTCAGCTGCAGCTCAGGTGTTGCAGCACAAATTCTTACCTTCATCATTGCTCTCGGTCCTAAACATGTCCGGATAATGTCAGCAATAGTCTAGGAGGAATCAAAGAAATTAGGAATAGAGGAGGGCATCAAAAAGTCTAAAAAAATCCCCACAGTGAAATCAGCAGCTCTTGCAAAATTTAAGTGATCCAACAACTCTGCTGTGGTTGAGATGCAGCCAAGGTTAAGAATTGTATGGAAATGAGAATATGGGGATTATCAAGACACTTGAAACACACTAAATTATTATCTTAATCAGATGTCAAACCTGAGACACTTTCAGACTTCACAGAGAAAGGGAGTTTGGTTGGTTAAATCCCTCCATGGTTATTTCTAGGGTACCCATTGCATTAATAATGCAGATATTTTATTTTTATACAGAATTTTTATGTAATACTATAAAAAATCTTCTGCTAAGATAGAAAATTATCTTCTATGTTGCTTCTTCTTCTACTCTATATTCATATAGAGTAGAGAAAATATGCTTCACATCCAGTTTTCCCTCTGAAATATATAGATACACACACACAGAACAGAACAGCCTGAGAATTTGGTACCTTTGCAGCAGTGATGTTTCCAGTCTGGACTTTTCTTCCAGACTCACGTTTTGTATTCTGACCTAAAGAATACAGAAAAAATAAAATTAATCAAATACAATCAAGTACAAAACAATAAGGATGCAGTCACCTCTCAGTCACGCATTCAACATGTCACCAGTTTGAAATTCAGAGTTTACAATATAAATACTGCAGTGATGATGAGAAACACACTGACAGATTGTCAGTGAAAAACATTCCCTATTATAACAGAACTCCTCGTTAGCATCCTGAAACAAAGCTTTGCAACCCTGAAACAGGACCTATTACCCAGAAAATCAAACTGCAGTGACTCACTAGGATCTGACAGATCTCACAAAGCCAAGGAGCTGCTATTGTACAGTAGCGTTCAGTAAAAAAAAGTTACAGTGGCTTATGTACAGTAAGCAGAACTGGGTGAACATAAAGTTAATCCATCAACGTTGCTTTGGCACATGAAGATGACCCACTGCTGCCAACAAACTCAGCCCTAGCATATTTGGGCTCAGGTATACTCTTCTAGTATTAAAAGCAAGGCCTGAGCACGCCCAGATTTACTCAGGAGCAGATGCATGCGCACACGAAGGTGTAAGACAGAACAAAAGAAAGCAACAGCAAGAGCAGCACCAAGCCTCAGGCAAGCAGGCTTATAGAAAAGGGGCAATAGGCTACCACAGTCTGCCTATTGGATTAGTAGAGCACAGGATGGATGGAGGAAAGAGAATGAGATATCCGAACAAAAAAAAAAAAAAAAATCCCTCGGAACACTTCATTTTGATAGATGGTGACAGAATCATAGAATGGTTTGATTTGGAGGGGGCCTTAAGGATTACCTCGTTCCAAAGCCCTCTCACGGGCAGGGACACCTATCCCATCACTAAAGGCCCTTGTCCAAAGTCCCTCTCCCTCTTTCGGAGCCCCTTTTGGCACTCGAACGAACTCTGAGGTCTCCCTGGAGCCTTTACTTCTCCAGGCTCAACACCCCCAGCTCTCCCAGCCTGTCTTCAGAGCAGAAGGGCTTCAGCCCTTGGAGCATCACTGTGGACTCATTTAGACTCGCTCCAGTAGCTCCACGTCCTTAACATATTAGAGGCCCAAGAACTGGGGTTCACATGGGGTTCAAACGGGACAGTACAAAAAAACATGCTGAGAAAGATGTGAGAACAGCTGAGAGCACCGAAGGCTGCCAGAAGAAGGTCTGAGCGCAGTGGGGCTCCGAGATATCCCGCGGAGAACACGGCAGAGGCTGTGGGTACGGAGCTGTGAGGGGGAACAGAGGCTGAGGCTGTGGAGCTAAGAGGGGGAGCAGAGGCTGAGGGTATGGAGCTGAGGAGGAGAGCAGAGGCTGCGGGTAGGGAGCTGTGAGGGGGAGCTGTGGGTCGGGAGGTATGAGGGGGAGCTCGGGCCGCGCCCATCGCCAGCGGATGCCCGGCAGCACAGGGGTCCCCGGCCGGAACGGGCAGTGAAAAGCCGCCCGGCCATGAGGAGACCCAACATGGCGGCGAGTCAAGCGAGCGGCAAAGCGGGGCGGAGGTCCGAACCGTGCATACCCTCGCCCCTCGCCCGAGAATCCGGGCCGGGCCGGCGGAACTTACTAAGAACCAGGACGGGGCGTGGGCCCATCATCGCGGCGGAACCTTCTGGAGCCTCGGCACTGTCGCCTCGCAAAGCCGCGACTCCGCGCACCGCCTCCCACCGCCGCGGAGAATCGCGCGTGAGCGCCGCGCCCAATCAGAGGGAACGCCCGGCGGGTTCCGGCCGGGAAGTGACGCCGGGCGCGCGGGGCGGGAGCCACAGGGGCTCCGCACGAGCGGGGTGCGCGGTGGCCGCGGGCAGGAGAGGCCGCAGGGCCCGCGGAGTGCAGGTCTCGCTGCCGCCTCCCCGTTCCTTCCGGAAGGCACCGGCTCCGAGATGTCACCCCGGCTCCGAAACGCATATCTCAGTGCCCCTGCCCCTCCACCCCCCTCGGTCAGCACGGTGGTCTCGCCCAGCCCGCGCTGCAGGCCACTGGCCACGGCCGCGCTACAGAACGCCAGGAAAAGGACGGATACTGGGGAGGTAGCGCCTGTGCGATAGGGCAGGCCGTGCCCGGCTCCTGCAGCAGCAGCTCCTGCTGCTAGAACGAACTGAGCCCGAGCCCCAGGCTCCGGTGTCCGCTCCAAGCAAGGCCCTTAGCCCTCTTCAGCCGCCAGCGGCCATTTTGTGTTCCAGGCCGTTCAGTGTCACCCGAAGAGACCGGGGGTCACATAATGGCATGAGAAAAGACCTGGTGTCATAGGACACGACCTGATCCACTGTCAGCAGAAAGCTGGACCGTGTCCAGGTGTGGGTGCATGTAGTTAAACAGAGCATACCCAATGCAGGAAGGGAGAGTTTCCCAGCCTCTGCACCTGATTCTTGAGGAATTTAACTCCGATCCTCCTCCCTGCACTCCACCCTCATTGCTTTACAAGCCCACCATGGACCTGAGTAGGCTGGTGGGCCAGAAAACAGCATCAACAGGGCAAAGTAGCAGCTCTGACATCCTCTATCAAATCAGGTCTGTGGTGTGACCAGAGCAAACTCCATCCCACAGAGAAGGCAGCACCTGGAAGGTACCCTCAGATATGACACCCTGCAGAAACCTGCAGCAGGCAAATGAGAGCTGGAGGCACCACAAGGGGCAAAGCCCCACAAACAGGCACTAACACACTGTTCCTACATATGTATTGCTGCAGCTGCAGAGGAAAGAAGAGATCTGTCTCCAAGGCAGTTTGGGACTTTTAGTTGTTCTTTTTTCTGTTTTCTTGTTTCTCCATTAGAACACAGAGGACACCTCATCGCTGCTGCTGCAGCCACCAAATCCTTTGCCCAGAGGGCTGAAAGCGCAGCATAGGCAGCACCTCTCAGGGAACGGTGCCACCCCGACCCAGCCACTGTTCTTGATGATTCAGGGTTGTCCTTTCCCAAGCTCTGGGATGCTGGTGGCATTTGACTCTGCTCAGTTCTTTTTGGTCTTGGGGGTGTCATACTTCCTCTTGCTCGAGTACCAGAGCAGCAGGGGGATCCCGATGGACGGCAGGGTCATCACACCAAATGCTGCCCAGTCCAGCTAGAGGGAGAAATTGTTAAAGTCAAAACAATCCAGGCCAGAGGAATCTTAGAGCAGTATGGTCAGAGGAGGAGAGAGGGGAGACCTCACACTGTCTGCAGCTTCCTCATGTGGGGAAGCGCAGGGGCAGGCTCTGCCCTCGGTGACCAGTGACAGGACCTGAGGGAGTGCCTGCAGTGGTGTCAGGGCAGGGTTAGGCTGGATAGTAAGGAAAGGTTCCTCTCCCAGAGGATGGTCTCCCAGCCACTGGAAAAGGCTCCCCAGGAAAGTGGTCACAGCACCGAGCTTGACAAGAGCTCAAGGAGTTGGATAGGGCCGACAGGCACCTGGTTGACACTCATGGGGTTGTCCTCTGTAAGGCCAGGACTTGGACTCCACGATCCATGCGGGTCCCTTCCAGCCTAGGAGGTTCTAAGATTCTACTCTCAGATTTTCTGGATCAAATCCCACAGTGTAGCTCCTTCACATAGGGAGCTGAGATGGAAACTCAGCTGCTTCTGTGATAGTCCTCTGGAGAACTGACAGGAATTAACTCCAGCTCCAGCTGGAACTCTCCAGGTGACTGCAGAGCAAGCCACACACACCTCGTGCAAGCAGGAAGCCACGGCACTGGGCTGCAGCTGCCGTGGTGCACTTTTCCATTTTCAATTGACAGGCACTTACAAAGTGAGGGGAGAACCTCCTGTCGAAGTCGCGCTGAGCCAGGATTCCTCCCTGCCCGGGAGCACTAGTGAAGCCAACCTGGAAAAGGCAGGGAAGACACAGGCTGTGCCACCTTTCTTCCTGGCTCCAAAACCGGGCAGGGTGAGAGCACAGGGACAGGCATCATCCCTGACCACACAGCTCCAGGAGCATCTGCAGGGCTCCCATAAATCAGCCACTTACCACAACCTGTGCACCCTCCTGGGCCAGGTAAGTGATGGTGGCAGAGGTGAAGTTGAAGTAGCCAGCTTTGAGAGGCCGTAGAACCACGGTGTGGGACACGTTGCTCGCTCTGGGAGCCGGACGTTAAGGAAAATGGTTTTATTTCATCACAGGAAGAAAAGTGAGGAGATGGGAAAGAGCAGCCTGGAGCCAGGTGCAAAAGTCAGTGCTGCTGACAAATCTGAATGCTCGTGGTCACAGCCAGCCAGACCCACCTGAGGCTGACCCAGCTGCTCCTCCACAGGCAGAGCAACAGCCCCAGGACCTGGTCCTGTCTGCAAGTAACTTTAATTTTACACTGCACCATCCAGAAGAGCAGGGGTTTGGATTTGACACCCTGGCCAGGCTCTGGAAGGAATTTCAGAGACAGCAGATAAACATATGACGAAGCTGCAGGATGCTCAGGGGCAAGAAAAAGAGTTGGGAGAAATTTCAAAACATTAAAAGATACGGAGCAATCCTGTCCCACTTGACATTGAGCATGCCAGAGACGATGCCAAAATCTTCTGGGGGGAAGGAATCATCCGACAGCTCCACATCTAGGGCAGCGCTAAACACAACAAAGAGAGGGGTGAGATGGAAATCTTATGATTTGCCATCTGCTCATAGGCTCTGCAGCAAAGTGCACTGACAGTTCCATCCTGACCAAATGGAAAAACTGGTTTTTGAAAGATGAAATTTCACCAGTAGAAGATGGGGAGGAGACCTGAGGCGTCCTACAGGGAGACTGCACAGAGAGGAAGGCAAAACTGAGAGAAACAACTGCAAGGACAGGAAAACCACCGCTTTTTCCACAACAGGATTTGGCAGCTTGCTGAACTTCTGATACCATCCCATGGATACAAATGTTGGCCTAAATAATAACTTAATTCCACATATAAAATCACAGTATCTCATTAATGTTGCATGAATCCAACATTACAGCACCTTATATTCTTCTCTTAGCAATACCATACTCAGCATGCATTATTCTGCCTTTAAAAAAAAAATCTAAAGAACAAAACTGCAAAGCTTTTTAATAGTGTCCTGCATTTTGTCCAATCAGCTTTTCATTCTGCAACTGAAGCTTTTTACCAGCATCGTGGAAGTTCTGTTTTATCTTTGCCAGGTCCTGATAGCAAAAAGGAATTTTCATTAAAAAGAATAAACATGAAAAAGAGCTCACAAAGCCAAGGGAGCTGCATGCGTGGGGAGCAGAGTGTCACCAGGACACCACAGGAATTATACCATGCTGGACTGCCAGCTTGAGCAGCCACAAAATGAAAGCAGGGACAACGGAGGAGGAAGGAAAAGGCAAATTTCAGGGTCAATCCTTCAGGCACTGCTGGAAAGCTCAGAGTTAGAGGGAGCAAAAGCAACAGCACATCACGGAGCTCAGAAATCACCTTGTAGCCTGCAGCCACACAGAGAACATTTTGCTCATGGTCAGTACTGATGCCTGGACAGGGCTTACCTGGAGCCAACGTTGTAGATGTTGTACTGCAAAGTCAAGTCCTTGCCCTCCACTGCATATCTGTTTAACAGGGATTTGGAGGCCAGGAGCCTGGCACCATCCTCACAGTGAGCCACAGACACCAGGGCAAACACAGCCAGAAGCACGAGCTTCATCTAGAAACACAAGGAAATGGAATGGCACTGATCATTTGAAATCTATGAACACTTGCCTGGGGGGATGTAAGAACTGGCACAGCAGTGTCCCAGATCTGCAGCCGATGGTCTTCTCCCCTTTCAAAGCCCTGGCCGATATCACTCCCGTTTACAGAATCATGGAATATGCTGAGGTGAAAGGGACCCACAAGGATCATCGAGTCCAACCCCTGGCCCTGCACATCTCAGGAATGGGCAAAGCTTTCCGATCACTAAACCTCTTCTAGTAACTTCCAGACCAAAAGCTTTTGCAATTAACAATTTCATCAGTTTTAGCAACTAACAGTTAATTGTCCTTGCAAAACCTGGCAACTTTCCAGCACTGTCTTACACACCAGAGTTAGTTCTTTTCAGAAAGCACCAGCTCCTCACTTCCAACATTTATTCTTTCCTATTTCCGGCCACTGAGGAACCACCAACTCCCTCCAGTGGCTTTTATGATCCCCTGCACAAATCCCTGCTTCAGGCCACGTGGCCTGACTTACCCAAACACAGTGCCTGCCTCTGAAGCCACCCTGTTGAGAGGACAAGGAAACAGGAACACTACAGATGTAACCACTGAGGACACTTGATGGGATTTTTAAATGCAAAATCTGCTTCAATATCAGGGCCTCTGCCCTCCACAGTCACAGGGTGGTTGGGGTTGGACAGGACTGTAAAGACCATCCGATTGCACCCCCCTGTCATGGGCAGGGACACCTTCCACTAGACCAGGTCGCTCCAAGCCCCATCCAAACTAGCCTTTGACACTTCTAGAGATGGGGCAGCCACAACTTCTCTGGGCAACCTGTGCCAACGACTCACCTCCCTCACAAGGAACAATTTCTTCCCAATATCCCATCTAACTCTGCGCTCTGGCAGTGGGAAGCCTTGTTCTGTCACTCCAGGTCCTCATCCAAAGTCCCTCACCAGCTCTCTTGGAGCTCTTTTAGGCAGTGGAAGGAGCTCTGAGGTCTCCCTGGAGCCTTCTCTGAGCTGAGCACTCTCAGCTCTCCCAGCCTGTCTCCAGAGCAGAGGATCTAGATCATCTAGAGCAGTCCTTGGATCATCTCTATGGCCTCCTCTGGACTCACTCCAGCAGCTCCACGTCCTTCCTGTGCTAGGGGCCCAGAGCTGGAGGCAGCTCTGCAGGGCAGGGTGTCAGGAGTGCTCTGCTGAGGGGCACAATCTCCTCCTTCACATGCTGCCCAAGCTGTTGGGGATGTGCCCAGGACAGTGTTGGCTTTCTGAGCCCCCGGTGCACATTAACTCAGCCACGGCATGCTGAGCTTCTTGTCAACCCATGCCCCCAAAATTCTTCTCAGGGCTGCTTTCCATCCATTCACCTCCAGTCTGGTTGTGTTTCGGTGCAGGTGCAGCACCTGCCTTTGGCCTCGCTGAAGCTCGTGGGCCTGGCACGGACTCGCCTGCCCAGCCCGACCCAATGCGGCTGCCAGAAGCCCCTTCCTTCCCCCCTGTCCTGCCCTACTGCAGCCGCACACCAGCGCATGCAGCCCAGGCTGCTCCAGCCCACTCACGAAGCCCACGGGCGCAGAGGGGTTCAGGGACACCTCTCAAGAGGGAACCGCCCGGTTTCACCCACCGCTGCCCGCGGAAGACCCCGACTCTGACGCTCCAGCTCCAGAAACCGGCCGCTCCTTCCCGGCCCCTCAGAGCCCACGACCGATCCTCTCCTACAGACCCTTCCCAGCGCTCTCCACTCCGTCCAGAGGCCCGAGGACACAGCTTCGAGATGCTCCGGGCCTCCCGCCCCTCACCGTCTCTCCCGCCGCCAACGCCGCAACGACGAGTCAGCGCAGCCGCGGCGGAAATGTCGCACTTGAACCACGCCTCAGTGTGGCCCTTTGCCCCCTGGGAAATGGAGTCCAGAGCCGTGCCCACGCAGGGACTCCGCGCCTGCGCAGGGCGCGCTTCCTGCGCTGCCCCATCGCCCGCTGGTGGCAGAGTGAGGGGAAAGGAGGCGGCGGGAGCGGCAGGGGCGCGTTCTGCTGGGCCTGGGCTCTAATGGGGCTCTGGCGAAGAGCAGCGGCTATGTCTCGGCGCAAGTTGCTCTGCCCTCGCCAGCACCCTGCGCAGGTCTGTGGTGGATGTGTAAAGCGGTGAGGGAGGAGTGAAGGAGAAGGAGCACGGCTAAATTCCTCAAGAATCACAGAAGCCCAGAATGTCCCTTGCTTCTTGACTCATTCACCCTAGAGAGGCTGCGGCCTTCTGCTGCCCGCGGAACAGGCCGTGTTCCGACCTAGCTAGTGCAAAGCCAGGAGCATAACAAAACTCTTGGCGTTTCCAGCACTGCAGGAAGCCCCCAGAGCTCCCCTGTGCCCATGTCTCTCACACAGATGCTTCTGGTGGGAGAAAGGCCTCCGGACCCTCATCTGTACAAATACTGCTCCTCACACACACCTGTTCCTTTCGTTGCAGGTCCCCACTCCTGGCCTGTGCCAACACCTCTTCCTACCACGGCTTTCTGCTTTCCCTGCTCCCTCAAGCAGAAGTTCTCCAAGCTGCAGAGAATGAAAAGCAAGACACTTAACTATTCTCTCTCCCACCCCACCTCTCTGCCTGGTTTTTCTGCAGCCAGGGCAGGCTGTTCGCAGTCTTGAAACACTGATAAAAAACCTGTCCTAGCTCTTAGAACCTCAGACCTTTTTCTGTGAAGCAGGAGCATTTTTGGGAAATATTTAATTCCTCCCCTGTAAGCACCTATGTTGGTGTGATGGCTTTCAGGCCAGAAGAGGAGATCACACAACTCCATTGCCACCCACATAACTGTATTCTGGAAGATTCTGACTTGGGTTAAGGAGGGTTGAAGCCACACACTTTTAGAAGGGGTTCCAGGAAGGTGATGTGGTTGTTGGCTGGGTCAGTGTCTAAGAGCAGAGAAATGTGTGGCATCTGTGTTAAGTATTTACCTTTGGCTTTGTGGGTGCTGTGTGGGCAGCATTTTCAATTGGATGAGTATTTGAGCTGAGTTGGGCCATAGCAAGGAGGAGCTCAGAGCTGGTGATTTCTCACAGGTGCAGTGGTAGTTTTCTGTCTTTTGGTAACTTTGGTACCACGAGCCATGACGGCTGCAGCGTCCTGTCAGAACAGGAGAGCAGAAGGCTGTGGAGCTTTTGAGGGCAGGGTTGTTGTGGAAGACCTCTGTGGTGTCCAGTGTGATTCTGACTAGGGAGTTTTCTTGCACATGATGGAGAGTGACCTGCCAGCTGCAGGAATGGTGCAGTTAGCTGATGGGGCTTCTGCTGAGGATGACCCCTCTGCCCTCTGAAAGCTCCATTGAGGGGCCAAAGACCTCTGGCCTCCAGTGTGTAGTTTTAACTTTGGTTGGAAAGAGATCCCAGCGTAGCACATCTTCCAAAAAATTGCTGGCATTGCATCTGCATTAATTGTCTCACGTCCAATGGTGTGTGTCCCAGCAGCATCTCCTTTGGGCAGTGCAGCTGGCCAGATATCCCTCCTAACTGTAGCACAAAAACTCCTAGTCAGGGTAAAACCATGTATTTTGGGGATGGAAAAATTTATTGGTACCAGTTTACAGCTGTGTAAGTTCAGTTAATGCAAAAGAAAAATCAAAGATTTCTGTCATAGAAGTATTTTACTGGATGTGTATAACCACACACGCCCCTCTTCAGGAAAAAGTGAATTACTAAGATTTGTTCTTTATTTTATTCTTCAAAGTTTTACACTTCAGTTCCAGTTTTATTGGCCAAGCAAGTATGGTCTGCAGCAGCAGTGCAATAACTCAAGCTGTTGAGGGAATGATACCTCCCCTTCTTTTGCAGGGGGGAATTTGTCCATTTTGAATGGCATTGTTGAAAAGAATGATCTTCTGGTCAGAGCTCTTTCCCTTGTTTTGTGCCTCTTTGTGAGGTTGAGGTGAGATCATGTCTATTGGGACATCCAATGTCACGGTGAGGAGTGGGCAATGGTGCAGCAGAAGAGCAGGTGTGAGGAGGATGAGAGGGTCACAGGGGATTTCCAAAAGGTGTCTGTGTTGGTTTCAACAACCAACGAGGAGCTAAACTCCAAACAAGCCACTGTCTTTCCCCTCCTGCCGTCAAGGGAGGGACAATAAATCAGAGATGATGACTTAAAAATAACAATTTCTTAAAAAATAAATCACAAAGCAATGGAATGAGACATACAGGATGGAAAGAAAATGATACAAAATAAAGGAAAAGGTTTTAACCAGAAAATAGCAAGGTGTTAAATACCCCCCTTGTAACAAAGATAAAATGGCTGCTGCTTCCTTTAGCAGCTCATGTGGGCCAGGAGGACAAAGACACGATGTTGGTGAGGTTCTCTTGGCTCAACTCTTCCCTCCTGGAAGTAAAAAACGCCGGGATGTCAGGAGCTTATGGAGTAATTCTGCTGGCAGATGGGGGCGTGCTGGCATTGCCTAGTGAGCTCCAGACCTCCACTGTCAGTTCCCTGCTCCCTCCCACTGACAGCAGCAGTGTCTCTATAGGTCCGTTTTGGCACTTCACTGCCTCTTTTCGCATCAGCTGGGCTCTCCCTTGGCTTGGATGGACTCAGCTGGTCTCGACTCTGCTGCTTTTGGTCTCTTCTGCACCCGGGGGAGGAAGGAACGCCCAGTGAGGGAAGCCAGGCACTGAAAACTGCACCCCTGGCTCCACAGGAAGATCTTTCTGTCCTTACTCCTCTTGTCTGGGAATAATTCTTTGACATAATGAATTTTGGAGGCTGAATCAAAATTTCAGGGGTGGTTACCTCACAGAGGATGAATCTGGCTTTTGTCTGGGAGCAATCCTTGAATATATAGAATTTTGGAGGTGGAATCCAGTTTTGGCGATGGGCTCCTGAATGATAATGACACCATAGAAAAGCTTCCTGTGATGAGTGGAAGCTTCAGGCAAGCCCTGCCTTAGCCTCAGATTTTGGTAACAGTTTAAATTTAAGAGATCACTCTGGACTGCAAGTTCTAATGATTGCAGATCAGATCTATTTATAAAAATTAGTTATTTATTAAACAGACCAGAGACGACAAATGAAAGATCCTAATCAGAGTTACTTACTACACGATAGAAAACTAAAGACCTACTAGTAGACTATAGCATAACATAAAACAGTGCACTGTATCAAGGTAATGATATTAAAGCCAGCTAAAGAAATAGTATTGATTAGGAGGCAAATGTAACTTAGCACCAAAATGTACAATAATGCACACAGATTCCTTCACTTAACCCCTGGGGAGTAACTGTGAAGCAGGTGTCCCTACTCACAAGAGAAACTCCCCACATTTCCATGGAAATGTACAGAAAGTTTCTGCCTCGTGAAAGTTTGATGTGGCTTTTAGAATTTGTAAATCGAGGTATCTGTCTTACATTGCCACTTCTCACTTCAACACTAAGATGTTTATTGGCAGTTGGGAGATGCCAGACCAGTGTTAAACCCATGGTGCCAGAATAACTCCCTACAAGACAGCTTGTCCTGTTTGAATTACCTGACTGGTTACTGACAAACTATTGATAAGCCCTTGTGGGAGGGTGAGATGCTCTGCTATGGAAGGAAATCACATAGGCCCAAAGTTTCAGGTATAGATGAGAAGCTGCCCAGGGGAGGCCAAGGCCACCAGACCATCTGTCCTGGCAGCTTTCATCTGGGAGCAACCCTTAGATGTATTGCATTTTGGAGGTGGAATCCAAATTTTGGCCATGAGCTCCTGGAAACAGGAATGACAGTTCTTTTCCATAGGAAGTAAAGCACATAGCCCCAGTGTTTCAGGTGCAGATGAGAGGAAGCCCAGAAGAGATCAATGCCAGGCAGACCAGTCTGTCCTGGCAGCTTTTGTCTGGAAGCAATCCTTGGACATACTTCTTGCTTTGCCTTGTAAACCCAACCCCTTACTTGCCTTGCACTACCTTGCATACCCATCCTTCACCTGTCAGCTGCTTTCATTCCTGGCCTTCTCTTGCAAGGCTTACCCCTCCTTTGATTTGCCTTCCCGTGCCTACCTCAACCTTGCATTTCTCTATGGACCCCTCTGTGTTCTTCCCTTGCCCTTCCTCCACTCCATTGCCTTGCACTGCCTTGCTCACCCATCTCCCAAGCTTGACAAGAAAAGGGTTCTTCCAGGTTTTACTCTTGTCCCTGTTTCGCACTGGTTGTTTTTTTTGGGGGGGAACAGGGAGTTCTGTAAACCTGGAAGGTCTTTAGCTGTGTTGTTTTTCCTTTCTTCCTCCTCTCCACTACATTGCCAGGAGTGGACTTCTCCATTCTTGCCTTTGTCCCCTGGGCTACATGGTCTTCTACTGAGATAAAGGTATTATTTTTCCCATACTGGGGGAGGGGCCTTCCCTGTCCCATTGTCTTTGCCCTTGTCGGGTTCTGCAGCCCCATCTTGATGGAGGGGCTTCTCTGATATTTTGTTTTCCTTATTTCTGGGGTACTACTTCATTCTTAGCTTTAGAGCCTTTGTATTTTTGGTTACTGCTGTTTCCTTATTAATTGATGTTTTGTTTTTTTAGTAAGCTGCTATTTTTTCACTTTTATCTTCTCACATTTGTCTCTCCTCCTGTTGAAAGGGGAGTGCTTAAAACTAAAAGAGAGGTAGCTTGTTCCCCAGGCTCCACCCTGTAAATAGTCTTAAACTGAGACAAATTTGGCACATAACTAAAGGGGCTTGAAAGAGAAAATGACAAAATAACAATATTGTCTGAAACATTATATGTTGGGTACAGAACTCCCTGGTCAGATGCTTCTGGGTCTAGTCATGTGGGTGTGGCACCTTTGTGCCCCTATATGTGGAGCCATTTGCCCATCATGATGGAT